ATGGGAGGGAATTTAGAACCCAGAATTTGAAGCTTGAAGGGACCGTAATCCATCTAACATAGTCATGGAATAGAACATAAAATGTCAGAGCTGAAGGGACCTCAAAGCCCAGAACATAAGGTACTAGAACTGGGAGGCGCCTTAGAATATAAAATTTTTGCTGTGATTCAGTCATTTTCAGCTGTGTCTGACTCTTCATGACCCCATTTGGGGTTTTCTTGGCAGAGATCCTGGAGTGGTTTGCCATTTCCTTCTCCAGCTCATTTTACAGATAGGGAAACTGAGGCAAACAGGAGTAGATGACTTGCCCAGGGTCACACAGCTATTAAGTGTCTTAGTCCAGATTTGAACTCAGGAAGATGAGTCTTCCCGACTCTACTGCACCACTGAGCTGCCCTAGAACATAGAATATAGAATGTGAAAACAAGAAAAAAACATTAAAATATAGTATGTCAGAGTTAAAAGGAAACTCAAAACATAGAATGTGAAATGTTAGAGTTAGAAGGGACCTTAGAATGAAAAAAAAAAAAACCAGAATATTAGAGCTGGGAAGGAATCCAAGCCTCTTTATATGTAGAAATATATCTACACATACATACATATGTATATATACATATATACATACATATATATACATATATATACATACATACATACATACATACATACATACATACATATATATATATGTATGTATGTATGTATGTATATATAAGGAAATTAAGGCTGCAACTTTTCTCACTCAGCTCTGAACTATCAAGGTACAAGCCACTGTCTAGGTCTTGATTCCAAAGCCGAGTGGTTCTCTGAAAAAAAGTGAGGCAAAATTCTTTCTTTGCAAGACCATCCCAAACACAGCATTGTAATTATGGCCTTAATAAGCTCATAATCCACTGCTTGTAAGCAGCCACTGTCTCGTGTTTCTAAGGGAGTTTTCTGAAGTGCTTCTGGTGGAGTTCCAATTTCTGCTTCTGGGACCCTCAAGGGAAATGGAAGTGGTAAGGGTCTCTTTGCCTTCTCCTAGCTCTCATCAGGAACAGGCCCACACCCCGTATGGTTCCATGGAAGAGTATGTGCCTGGGCCTCCGTCACATGGAAGTTGCTGTGAGTGATCCCGGCCTTTTAAATACCTGGGCAGGTAACTTCAGGGCCAGCCCTTGGCCCCTAGAAGGAGCAGTGAGCTCTTACTTCTATTTGAAACAAGCTAGATAAGATCAGAATCCATGTTTCCAGACATATTTCACCTTTGGTTCTTCTTCAAATACCGAAATGATCGTCTGTGTTGGCAATTGTTAAATTAATTATAAAAAAGAAAAATTTTTAAACAAGGAGTAAAAAGACAACATTTTTCAACATAGCAAAGCTTCATGAGAAGGCTGCACTGGGGAGAGAGGTCCAGAGCCCGCTACCTTCACTGGGCCTCCATTTTCTTATCTGCCAAATAAAAACGTTTATCTAGAATTATACTCTACAGTGTTCCAAAGTTCTAAATTCAATGACTGACCCAGAAAAACATTCTTGTCTTTTGGAACTGAAGTTTCTTTTCTCTCTCTGTCTCTGTCTCTCTCTCTGTCTCTGTCTCTGTCTCTTTCTCCTCCTCCTCCTCCTCCTCCTCTTCCTTCTTCCCTCCCCCTCCCCTCTCTCTTTCTCTCTCTCTCTTCCTTTTCTCTTCTCTCTCTCTCTTTCTCTCTCTCTCCTCCCTCCCTTTTTTAAAAGTTCAATGTGAAATACCAACCTTAATCCCCTAGTAGCAGCAATGTTTTTCCTGCCCCAGCATTGCACAACTTGTGGTATGGCCCTGTGCCACCCATTACCCATGAGGCGAGGTTTGACGTCGCTAGGGAACATCGTGTACAATGCCCACATTTTATCAAAACCAAATAGCAGAACAATGCATACAGGGCCTCGCACAAATCAGACTCATAAGATTTCACCATGATAAAGACAATAGAGAAGAAATATATAGTCTGTCTTCATTAGAAAATAAATAGAGCCAGTCTCTCCCTCCCTCCCTCTTTGAGCCCCCCTGCTCCCCCTTTACCTGCTCACCACACCCCACCCTCTTGTCATCAAGTGCTTCCTTTGGTCTCCAACTGTTCAGGTTTCACCAGTCTGGCGACCCAGTCGTACCCGGTTACGCCACAGTGGGGTGAGGTTTGGGAAGGGGGGAGAAGGGGAACCGAAGGACTCCCACTGACAGCCCCACTGAAGGCCAGCCCTTGGACTCTACTCCCATCCTAGGGGGAGTGTGGAATGGCTCGGAGCTGAGCTGGCTCAGTGAACGGGAGATGGAGTCACCAATGTGATGAGCACTCGAGCAAGAGCTTTGTGACCTTCAAGTGGAGTCACTGATGGAGCGGAGAGGATTCTGGGTTTTCTCTTCAGAAGATCTAGGTTGGAACGTCCTTTACTGTGGGTGTCTTATTGTTGTCGTTATTATCTGAATCATCGTTTTAGAGCTGGAAGGAACATCAGAGACCATGCAGTCCAACCTCTTTGTTTTGACAGAGAAGGAAAATGAGGCACCACAAAGGAAAAGAATTCCCCTAAGGTCACCCCAGTAATAAGCGGGGGAGTCATCGCTCAATCCCACGTTTGCTGATTCCCAAGTCCAAATGCTTTCCACTTCACCATCCCATTTCCTTTCTTCTGGGCTTCTCTCATCTGTCAAAAGGGAAGGTTGGATTACATAATCTCTGAAGTCCACCTCTGACGTTCTGAGATATTGTACTGTCGTGTGTTGTTTTGTTCTAAACAAAATCTGTCCCAGTGTAAGGGAACCAGACATAATTCAGAGGTCTTGGTTTTTCTCTTTAACTAGAAGCCTCCAAGGAAGTAGAAAAAGATAGGAAAACTGTTACCAAAAAGAGTCAAAGCATCCTGATTTATCAAGGGTTCATTGAAGGACGACTACTACCCACTTCCTGTAACAATGACCTGAGAGAAATAAGGCAGAAAAGGACTTTTAGACTCATCTATTGCCTTCATATAGTTGGGCTCACCCCAATTCCCAATGTGGGGCAGTGGCAAAGTAGTTGACTGATTAAAACTCAAAAGCCATGATCTTTTCAAATGGGCCAGCTGAAGAAGGGAAGTCCTACCTCCCGCAGTGTCCATAGAACTCCCGGAGCTAAGCTTTTGTTTTGGTCAAGATATAAACCACTTCTAAAAATGCAATATTTAGAAGAGTGATTATTCAGACCCTGAAGGGCCCAGTCCTTATGACTAGGATTCATGCATTTAGAACCAGAAGGGACCACTGGATTCATCTAGTCATAGAATCATAGATGCAGAGGTTAGTCTAACCCCCTCATTTGACAGATGAGGAAACTGAGGTCCACAGAGATGAGGAGACAGAATCATAAGGACCTCCAAGGCCATCTGGTCCAAACCCTTTATTTTGTAGATGAGGCAGAGATTTTGAAAGGTTTGGTAATTTGCCCACAAGGAGCAGCAGAGCTCAAATTCAAACCCTGTTCTCTGAATTCCAAATCCAGTGTTCTTCTGCTAAAATGTTATCATCAAAATAGAGATCTCATTAGATCAAAGGCTCCTAATGGGCTTGTTTGCTCTCTTCCACGCTTCCTTCTGTCTGCTTATGTCTTTTTCAAAAGCCTCAGTGTGAAGTAGCCCTGGGTTCTCTCAGGCAAGCAGTTTCTAAAATGCTGGAAGGGCTTCAGGTATGCTCCCATCAACAGAATGTGCCTGTAGCTTAACTAAGTCTAACACAAGCACTGAAAGGAATCTGTTCCCACTCACCAGGACGAGTCTGAGCCACCAAGTGTGGATATCCTACCCCTTTGGGTCTCAGAAAAGCAAGGGTATGGTTTTCTAATGCTAAATTAGAAATGAACACCCAACCAGTGTACTTCCTCACATCATTTAGTCCTTGAGGACGGGGACCACGTTTTCCCACTTTCTTTGTATGGCCAGGTTTTCGTCCAATTCCTGGCACATAGTAAACATTTAACAAATGCTTGTTTACTGATAGTCAACCAAACCTGTAGCTTTTAGAAAGGGGTATTTATTAAGGCAGTATAATTGATACAAACTATTCCCCCAAAAGTCTGTGACGTGCTTACGATCAATCACACCCTTACCTCACAAATAGGCTGGCTACTTGGTGATAAATTCTTTGGCCATGGCAACACATGAAACAAAGAAAGACACCAAATGTCTCTCGGTCAACAGGAATAATTCTTTTTTACTTGTCCCTCCTAGGTGCTGAGTCTAAATAGCTAATTCACATTCCAGGAACTTATTTGGGGGTCCTTTGAGTTTCCTGATTGGAGGGGGAGGTTATTGGCAACCCCTACCTTCTTGTTTGTCTGAGTTGCCTGCCTTGAGACTCCTGGGCTATCAGACCCTTGCCTCTGTGCAATGATTAGCAAGTTATCCCTTCTGCGTGCAGCCCTTGGGTGTGAGGCTTAAACTCCTAATTCCAAACCATTACAACATGGGTGTCAGATTGCTCTGATTACTTAAAATGGCCTTTATGACAACCACACCAGCCCTTTTTGGAAGCCGAGGCTTTCACTCTTGGGTTTAGTTCTAAATGAGTCTTATGCTGATTGAAATCTTAGTTTAATTAAAACAAGTAAGGCTAATTAAAGAATCCAGTAGGTTCAGAACACTTCAGTAAAATGCCTTTGTAATTATAACTTACAGTTCATTAATGGAAAAGAAAAAAATATGAAAGGGAATACCAACTCACAGAGCATTAGAGCTGGAAAAGAAATTAGAGGGTATCTAGCAGAGCCCCCCCCACACCCCCAATTTTAGAGAGTAAGAAACCATAGCTCAGAGAGTGAAACAACCTGCCCAATTTCCAAAGACAGGAGACAAGAGCCAGAACTGGAACCTGGGACTTGTCCAACCCACCTGGCAAGGAAGCCTTTCCCAGCTAGATTCTCTCCAGTCTCCCATGAGGACAAGAGCCATCACGTCACAGAACTGAAAAGCAGGAAAGAAATTCAGAAGCCATGTGGTCTGGATCTCACCTGAACAGCCAAGTGGTCATCCACACTCGACTCCAGTACTTCCAGAAAGCTTGGGGTCTCCAGCAGCGCCTATACAAATGACCTCCTTTGGGTGAGCACCTAACAACATCTGTTAAAGGAACATTCAAGTGTTGGTATATAACATAATATATGTGTGTATATGTATACACATACATACATACATTTGGCCCATACGTATAATTTCATTAGTGTAGAGAACACCCAGGGTAGGAACTCGCTCTAAAGTTGTGGATTATTATCTTACCTGTAACTCAGAGAATTGTCCCGGTGACTGAGAAGTTAGGACCTGTCCAGGATCACACAGTCAAAGATGGGATTTGAACCAAGCTCTTTTTAACTCCAAAGCCAGCCCTCTAACCGTTATACCACTCTGCCTCCAGACAATTCTGGTTTCAGTCCCCAATGTGGAACAGTCAGAAAGCACAGGACCAGAGTTCAAATTCTAGCTCAGCCAATTTCTATTTGTGCAATCTTAAGCATGGAATGGTTGTGTTCATGATAGGTTACCTCAGTTGAGTGAAACATAATGAAAATGAGGCCAAGGTAGTGGGTTCATTCCCACTGTTGATCATTAGTTATTATCTATGCCAGGGCCCCCATGGTCACAAGGAAGAAAAAGACATGAGACTCCAAATGTCTGTCTCCACACCCTTCCATCACCACCACTGGCATGACGACTCAAAGACTATGGCAGGGTAAGAAGCATCATCTTCATCTCTGATGAAACCATCATCTTATCATGGAGCTTCATAAAATGCCCTTAATCCAAATGACCCCCAGATGCCATCTCTAGTCTTGGCAAGAAGAGTATCTCATCTATAATTCAAAATACTTGAGAAGATCATGGCTTCAGAGATAGGAGGACCTTAGACTCCTACCTCCTCATTTTACAGAGGAGAAACTGAAGTTAAGTGGTTTACCCAAAATAAATGTCTGAGCTGGACAGTAGAACCCAAGCCTTTCAAACTTCAGATCCAGCCTAATGGTCCATATATTGCCTCTTATCTCAGAACACCTACAGCCTTCCTTCTAGCAAACCTCTTTCCCTCTTATTGGAAGTTTATCCTATGTCCTCTTGGTTTATTCTCCCAAAAGATGGAAAGTAGATTGGTTTTTAACCCTACATTCCTGGGAGACTTCTTCCAGCTCTCTTGGGAAAAGAGATGTGGAGACCCAAACCTCTCACCTTCTCTACATCATGCATGCCTGGCCCCACTTGTAAGCAGATCACTGAGATACCTTTGGCAGCTCACTCTCCTCTTGAGGTCATAGCTTTCTGCACAATCCCAGTGGTTTCATTCTAGGGGACCCGAGGCTTCGCCACATGATACATGAAGGATGTTTTTTTTTTCACCAGTTCCTCTCAACCAGGTCAGCTTCAGTCAGCAAAAGCAAACTCAATAGATGGGCCTACCAACAATGCACAACCAGCAACCCACTCACATGGCTCTTTTGTGTGCCACCAGGCAAATAGAAGCGAAGACCTATTGTCTGCAAGACCAGAGGGTTTTGTTTTGCCAAGAGAACCTGCCTGTCTCTCGACCTCTGGGGCTGAGAATAAGCCTGTTCAGCTGGGTACTGTTGAGAAAGGAGCACATCAGCTCAATTTCTCTGTAGGAATACAAGATTCAAGAGAATTGAGGGTTTGAGGGTGGGGACTGGGAAGGGAAGGTGGATCTGTGATATCATTGGCAGAAGGAAGCTCTCAGAGAGGGCACTTATACTAATGCAGATTGGCAGCCTTGAGTCTTAGAAGGTTGTCTGGGGTCAAAGGTTAAGTTGCTCAGGGTCTCACAGCCAGTAGGAACACAACTCTTCCTAACTCCAAGGCTGACTCTTCATTTACTCTGACATGTTCCAAGAGAGTTATTATTCTTTTCTAATGTTACGGAAAAAATACTTAAAAGTTCATAGGTTTAGAGCTGGAAGAAATTATCAAGTCCATCCCTTGTCCCTCCTTTTACAGATGAGGAAACTGAGGCACAGAGAAGTTAAATGACCTTGGAGGCCATCTAGTCCAACTCTCTCATTTTAGAGATGAGTAAACCAAGGCACAGGGAGATTTAAATGACTGAGGACTTGAACCCCGGTCTTCCTGATCCCACATCCAGTGACATCGATTCTATGCTGCCTTTCACTTAAACTGAGTCTATTTGGGATTCCAGCATCTCCCACTACAAAACTGTGGGGCATAGTTTATTTTTATTTTTTATCTATTATTTTCATTTTGAAAAAAGAAGCTTCCACTTTCTAAAACTGTTGGCAAGTAAGTGGACATTCAAGAGTCTGGGTCATGGCTAAACTTTGTATTTCCCCCACACCTAACACTGGCCTGTTCACACTAGGCTTATTTTTTTTAACGTGTGCTATGTTGTATTCTAAGTGTAAGCAGCTGTCTTCACCCTTTAAGAGTTCAGAGAAAGTACGTTTTCAAAAACACAAAACCAAAATCTAAGCAGAAATCCTGCCTTCAAGGGAGAAGGAGGGAGAGAATATTGAGAGATCATTTCACTTTCTGCATCTGACATCCACCTTGACTCTGTACTGCTCCCCTCCCCCCACCATCGTATCATAGATACAGAGCTGAGAAGAACCTTGGAAGCCATTTCATCCAACTCTCTCATTTTACTGCTGATAAAAGAACAGCTAGGCGGCTCAGGAGTCAGGACAACCAGAGTTCAAATTCGGCCTTAAATGCCTCCTCGTTTTGTGGCTCTGGGCAAGTCCCTTCACCTCATTTTCCTCATTTGTAAAATGACAGCTGAGTGGCACAACGGACAGAGAAATGAGCCTGGAATCAGGAAGACCTAAGTTCAAATCTGGTCTCAGACACTTACTGCCTATGTGATGCTGGGCAAGTCACTCAATCCTGTTTACCTCAGTTTCCTCATCTGTAAGATGAGCTGGAGAAGAAAATGGCAAACTACTCCAGTATCTTCGCCAAGAAAACTCCAAATGGGGTCAAGAAGTCACACAAGACTGAAAAATGGCTCAAGAACAACAAAATGGGAATAATAATAGCACCCATCTCCCAGGGTTGTTGTGAGGATCAAATAGATAATAATTGTAAAGTGCTTGACTAACCTTAAAACTCTACATAAATGCTGCTTGTTGTCATTAAGAAACTCTAATTTGGAGAGGCACAGTGGCTCATAAGTCCATAAAATGAGGAGGTTGGCCTCAATGACCTCTAAGGTCTTGTCCACATCTTCATCTGTGCTCTTGTGACTCTGCACCTCTTACGATCACCTCTGGCTCTGTATGTATGATCCCATAGTCATAGCATCAGAGATTCAGAGCTGGGAGGGACCTTAGAGGTCAGAGTCCAGCTCCTTCATTTTACAGATGAAGAAATTAAGGTGGGGCAGCTAGGTAGCGCAGTGGATAGAGCACTGGCCCTGAAGTCAGGAGGACCTGAGTTCAAATCCAGCCTCAGACCAAACATTTGACACGTACTAGCTGTGTGACCTTGGGCAAGTCACTTAACCTCAATTGCCTCACCAAAAAAAAAAAAAAGAAATTAAGGCTCAAAGAGTTGAAGAGACTTGCTCCACACTACACCAGTAGGAAATTGGATTTGAATCTAAGTCTCCCAACTTCATATCCAGATCTATTTCTACTGGTCCTTTTTTTATTATTTTAATTTCTTTTCTTTCTTTTTTTTTTTAACCAGAAAGGCAAATTAAGAAAAGGTTGAAACTAATTATGGAAAACTAAGACTGAGACTATGACCATATAAACCAGTTTCCCCTTCACCTACCATCCTCCAATCCCGGCTTCCTATAGCATCACCTTCAGAAAACTCAAATGAGGATGAGGAGGAGACTGAGCATTGGGGATGGCTATTGGGGTCCTACCTGCTCCTTTAAGACAGCAAGTAATGGCTTGCTCAGAGATTCTGTAGGCACCATCCATACATCTAGGCTAGAGAGGTTATGGAGAGGTCAGCTAGTAGAGGGTTTTTCCCCCTAACTAAGGTGCTAATCAGTGCAGAAAGCCCTCAGGAACCGGTTGGTTCCATAAGTAGCTCCCACATCTTAAATTATGTATGTCATCCACCCTCAGGTTAAAAGAGGCTGCATCCACTGTGACTATTGAGCAATTGGATGGCATCTGCCAAGCAGCAACTTCGCCCTTCTCTGAACTCCTGTAGTACTTACTGTCTGTACCACTCATGTTGGCACTTTGTTATGTACTATCTGGCATCAGTGCTTAAATGTTTCATATTTGCACTCACTCTGTGAGGAAAATATTAGCCTTTCCTTTCCAATCTGTCCTCTACCCAACAGCCAAATCGATATTCCTCAAATACAAGTCCAACCTTGTCTCTCCCCTTGTGACTCAGAAAACTTCAGCCACCACTAAGCCTAGACCCTAAAGAGAGCAAAGAAAGAGGAAAAGGACTCCTATGTACTAAAATATTTAAAGCAGCTCTTTTTTGTAGCAGGAAAAAACTGGAAACTAAAGGGGTACTCATCCACTGGGGAATGGTTAAAGAAGTTATGGAACACGAATATAATGGAATACTAGTGTGCCGAAAGAAATGATGAAGTGGATGGTTTCCTAGAAATCTGGGAACTGATGTAGGGTGAAGTTAAGACAAGACAACAAGCATTTATCAAATACTTACTACATGCCAGGCAGAGCACTGGAGTGAACAGAATGAGGAGAATAATTTACACAATCACAACATTACAAAGAAAAATTATTTTGAAAGACTGGAGAATAAGATTGATGCAAAGACAATCCCTGATTGCTATCACGTAATGATGAAGTATGAGAGAGAGAGAGAGAGAGAGAGAGAGAGACAGAGAGAGAGAGAGAGAGAGAGAGGAATTAGGATGCAGAATGAGACCCATTTTCAGACACAGCCAATGAAAATTTGTTTGGTTTGATTGTGCACAGTTGTTACAAAAAGTTTTTTTAATTTTTTTTTCTTTTTCCAATGAAAATTGGTAGGGGTGAGTAGGATGGCAAAAGGGGATAGGGACAGAAGAGAGGAGAAAAAAGGAGAGGAAAAGAGAGGAGAGGAAAGGAGAGGAATGAAGAGAAGAGAAGAGAAGAGAAGAGAAGAGAAGAGAAGAGAAG